ACTATGACTATTTAAATTAAATTTCGAATATACTATGTGTCCGGGAAAAAAAATGGAAACCCTTTTACAATGATGAAAAGTTATGGTAAATATTTATCAAGCTCTAAATGCCAAGGCTCATTTTAATTCTAAGGCAATATTAACTTTTATCAGGGACCGTTCATTGTTTTTGTTGGGTATGCCAGAACTAAAATGGGTTGCATTTTTAAACTGATCAATATTTACTAATGTCTTTCATCATCATCAAAGGGATTACCTTTTTTTCCGGACACAGTGTATAATAAATAACCTCTTATTACGCACAATTCTATTGTATTGCATTTTAATAAACTTTTTAAAAAATGTATCTTGTTTATAAATTATGATTGAACCAATTTTAATTAAAGTTAAAGCAAGCAAGAATAAATCATAAACGCCGAGAGACCAGTTTTTAATTATTTTATTTTGTGTGCGTTAAATTTCAAAATGATTTAAGACAATTTCTCATAGTTTTCTGACACTGACATTTTAAAGATTTTGTTCTTACGGGCTTTTTGTGTTACGGGCAGGTCAATTTAAGGTCAGAGTTTTACAATTTGTCCTTAATTTTATGGACGATTGACAACCTAAAAACGATGGCCAGTTTAAGTTTGTTCTGAAATTTAAAAAAAAATAAAAAATACGTAGACCCAAATCAGAAATAAACGCACACTTTTGTAAATCGTAAAAACTTAAACTTGAAAAACTTATAATTGTATTATCACTCGTGGCCGTTTAGTTGGAGAAATATTTCACATGACATAAAAACTGAAATAGACAGTGTTGTTAAACTTTCAGTTGTGATGGACGTATTCTGACAGAAGATTTAACTTTTGTAAATTTAATAGTTTAATAGTGAAGTACCCTTTAAATATACATTTTAATTAGTCGTTAATTTGTATTTAAAAAAAAAAAAAAACCTAAAAAGTGCGACGTACTTAAGAGAGAGAGAGAGAGAGAGAGAGAGAGAAAGAAAGAGAGAGAGAGAGAGAGAGAAAGAGAGAGAGAGAGAGAGAGGGAGGGAGAGAGAGGGGGTCCTGAGATTTACGACAGTCTACTGACAGCTTGTGACAATCATCTTGAAACTTCAAATTTGATACTAGAGAAATCCGTATTGAACTGCAGTAAAACTGATCTATGGGCAGAAAAAATGTGTCAGACACTCACAGGTTGATCAAGACTGAGGTCGAATGACTATGTAGAAAAGTACTTACACTATCTGGGGGTCCGCGCACGGAGGCGGAAAGCCATGGTTCGATCCGAATGGAAGGATGTGGTGGAGCAGGTCAGGACCCTACATGGGCTGTAGCGCCAATGATGATATATTTTTAATTATAAAAGTAAAAGCCAAAAAAGAAACATGAAATGAGTGAGATATTTGACATCGTTTTTCAGACACGAATATTTGATATTTAGTTCGATGGCAGTTGATGCAAACCTCAGCGAGTTCTCACCGATTTTAGCTTTAGTTTTTTTAAAAATTCCATTTGAACTTCAACCATGAAAATAGATGCTCAGACTTGTAGTGTAGGTTCTTCGAAATAGCAAATGACTTGAATCAGGCACGACTATGAAGCGAAATACATTTTTCTCTGGGAAGGTAATTTTTTCAATAGAAGCCCAGGGAATAGACATGATTATATTTTCTTTAAGGGTGTATGTCAGATTGTAGCTCTCTGCATTCCTTTTGCATATTGAGATGTTTATATAAAAAAAAAATGGAGTCGCAAAAGTTTGATGATTTTTCCCTGTGCTCAAATGCTTGTTTAACCACTAACTAAATGCTTGTTTAACCACTAACTAAATGCTTGTTTAACCACTAACTAAATGCTTGTTTAACAACTAACTAAATGCTTGTTTAACCACTAACTAAATGCTTGTTTAACCACTAACTAAATGCTTGTTTAACCACTAACTAAATGCTTGTTTAACCACTAACTAAATGCTTGTTTAACCACTAACTAAATGCTTGTTTAACCACTAAATATCCAGTGGCTTGGTTATCCCAACGTATGGGGAATAGCTCTAGATTACAAATTGATTTCTTTTACAAATTTCAACTCATCTCACTAATTTAAAAAAATATCCAACTGATGTGAAATAATTTCATTAAGTAGAGACATGAATTATCATCTATCAGTTGATACCAAATTAATATCGATGGGTGTTTTAAAAATGTACATAAAAAAAAAAAATGTTGGAAAATATGCACAAAATTCTATTTTTACAGGACACTGTCTTTCCTGTACAGAAAGCTTGGGTCATATTTTTCGTTGTTCACAGGACCATGTTGAGCCAGCGTGTAGACAAGCGTAACGTTTGAGCCTTAATTTGAGATTGCCATAGTTTTAGTTTCCCCTTTGACCGCTGTTAATAATTTAAAACATTTTGTATTGACCAGTTGAAGACACTTTTCAATGAGCGGTCAGGGCAACGGAAAATGCCAACATCTGTGCTCCAGTTTTCATCATCAGCCTCTGGCACAAATTTTGCGCTTGATTCCACAAACGGCTTGATTTCATTTAGCAAATCACAAAATATTGTTAACAAATTGCCGTCTTACGACCGAAAAGTAAATGATGTCCTCATTGTCAGCAGTAGACTATTTAATGGGATGGGCGCGTGTGACTTGTAAACGAACCGAAGTTTTTAAACTGCATAGTTGAGTTTCATAGCAGAACCTCCATTGAATATGTTCACATTTCTAAGTTATTTTTTCCCCACTATCAGGTCTGCACCTTGTGTGTGTGTGGGGGGGGGGCGGGTCAACCATGGCACGTGACAGGGGGCCCGCCTTTTTTTTTTCGAGTTTTAAAATATACGCACATGTTTGAAACACGAAATGGGCCCGAACTCTGTTAGCTGCCTGGAGCCCAGAATTTCCTAGGTGCGTGTCTGCTCTGAGCCAAGCTGGATGACCGCAATAGAGCCAGCCTCCACCTTACACTAAAAGCATCTCGCGGTTCTGGCTCAAACGGGCTAAGAAATAAGTATAACTTGTGATGCCCAATATTGCAATTGAATACAGTTAATTAAGAGTTAATCCAAAGTAAGTGAGACACATTTTGTTTATTTGAAAAAAAAAACGATCGCTCTTCTTCACCTGCATGCATTTTTATTGAATCTAGCAAATGTTTCTAATATATTATTACCGGGTAGCAATGTCAGCACTTTGAGAACCATTGTTCAAACGAACTCCAGTAAAAATCAGCAAAGCATCGCTCAAACAACAACAGAAGGGAGCGTCGGGAAAAGTCCCACTTAGCGAGTGACTGATCCAATTTAATGAAATACTAATACCGGGTAACATCCATTTGAAATTTCAGTCAAATTTTCGGCAAGCCACCCCCCCCCCCCCCCCCCCCTTTTTTTTTTTCCTTCTTGCCGAAGCTCACCTTGAGAAACACAGGCATAAACACAGGCATAAACAAGCAAATAAACAAATGCACTCAAAACACTATCATACAAATGCACTTAAAACACTATCATTCCATTGTTACGTAGCCTACCCAACTAAATAGAAATACAACCAAATGGCTACTAAAATTGTTCCATTATTTGCTTTAGCCGTCAGTGGCAGCTTGGCACAGGTGACGCCGTCACACTGTAACCTGGCGTGTCCTTTCAACTATCAGCCTGTATGTGCCAGCAATGACCTGACGTACTCCAACGAATGTGTCATGAACTCCCTGTCTTGTGTGTAAGTACTGGTCATTGTTCCAGTGTGTAAGTACTGATCATTGTCCCAGTAGGTACTGATCAGTGTCCCAGTAAGTACTGATCATTGTCCCAGTGTGTAAGTACTGATCATTGTCCAAGTGTGTAAGTACTGACCATTGTCCCAGTGTGTAAGTACTGACCATTGTCCCAGTGTGTAATTACTGATTATTGTTCCAGTGTGTAAGTACTGATCATTGTCCCAGTGTGTAAGTACTGACCATTGTCCCAGTACTGATCATTGTCCCAGGATGTAAGTGATAATCATTTTCCCAGTGTGCAAGTAATAATCATTTTCCCAGTGAGCAAGTAATAATCATTGTCCTAATGTGTAAGTACTGATCATTGTCCTATGTTATATAGTTATATTAATAATGTTAGTTACACAGAAAGGATATGTCAATATGATATGTGAATTGTTGCATGGAAAGTGATATGTTACATGGATTTGCTATGAAAAGTGATGTCGCATAAATATAACATGGGAAGAGACATATTACAAAAACATAGATGTTTTTATGTTACGTAAATGAGTTGATACATGGATGTGATCCTTTACATAAATGAGATGATAAATTGATGTGATACATTACACGGCTTGGTGGGTTATGCCACAAATAAATAAATGCCATTTTCATTGTTCACAGGGATGATCTGGGTCTTACACTGAAACACGTGGGAGCTTGCTTATAAAGTCACATCATTACCTGCTGATGATGTTCAAGATTTGTGAATGTCTTCAACTGTAAATTACAGTGTATTAGAATTAACATCCTCTCATCTTTAAAGAAATCAAAACCTCCCCCAAAATCATTTCTTTGTCTTCTTTGTTTTGCTTCTTTTAATAAATTATGTATTTATTTTTTGTATTGATTGAACAAGAAATTATTATTTTTTAAATTTGGAAGGTTCTATCACAAACCCTTCCTTTGCAAAGTTGTGGGTACAAAATAGACCTTTATTGACATAGTAAGGGGCATTTTAGCCTCAACATTAAGTCACAGACATATTGCTCTATCATCATTTGTTCTAATGTCTATTACCGGCCCTATTTGGTGATTGCTTTTTGTCCCTTGCCCAGCTAAGACAACATCTAATTCTTTCCCAGCTAAGACAACTTCTAATCCTTGCCCAGCTAAGACAAATTCTAATCCTTGCCCAGCTAAGACAACATCTAATCCTTGCCCAGCTAAGACAACATCTAATCCTTTTCCAGCTAAGACAACAGCTAATCCTTGCACAGCTAAGCAGTCTTTAATCCTTTTTTGGGTCCATGATAACCAGAAGGTCGTTTTTGCGTGTCCTTTTCATAGAAGTCTCCATTAGAAAGAACAAAAACATTTGGTGCTTCACAGACATTTAAAAAAAACAACAAGCCAACCAGTTTAATTTATTATGTCTTCTGACTTTTATAACATTCATCTGTTTGTGTGTGGACAAACAAGGCGAGTCCTACTGTGCCCGAGTCCTACTGTGCCCGTGTTATTACCAGTCTAGCACAAATGGAAATAAAAATATCAGTTACTTTGCGCTGTGTGATTAAAAGTCTAGCCCAAGTGGAAATAAAAATATCAGTTACTTTGCGCTTTGTGATTACCAGTCTAGCCCAAGTGGAAATAAAATATCAGTTACTTTGCGCTGTGTGATTACCAGTCTAACCCAAGTGGAAATAAAAATGTCAGTTACTTTGCACTGTGATTACCAGTCTAGCACAAGTGGAAATAAAACTATCAGTTACTTTGCGCAGTGTGATTAAAGGTCTAACACAACAGTAACAGCAGAAATAAAATATGAATGACTCTCCGTGCCATGTTAAATGACTTTGGGTTCATCCTAGATAATTTTCCAATGTTCTGTCTGCTCCAGGGTGCTTTAAAATGTGCTTAGTACTATTCTTGTGTACTTGCCCAAGGGTACTAACCACTGTCTCTTAGCCCTAGGGTACTATCACATTTTTTGGGCGCTAGTGTCCGATTACTATAAAAAGCCACCATATGTACTATTGGTCCTCGTGTACCGATGAAAAATACTATTTGCCAGGGTGTACCAATACATGTATGATTTGCCCTGGCACAATGCAAGTACTTTTTGCCCAAGTGTCACGATACATGTAGCCTACTGTTTGCCCTACAAGACATGAAAGATGAAAGTTATGATGTCAGAGGTCACTGGCTTTCTTTTGATGTTTTAACTAATGTGATGCATATGTGCATGCACTTGGATCTCATTGGCTGCTTTTGACAGTGGTTGGATCTCATTTGCTGCTTTGATAGAGGTTGAATCTCATTGGCTACTATTGGTAGAGGTTGGATCTCATTGGCTGCTATAGACAGCGGTTGGAAGACACAGCAACCTGAAGGCAAGAAATGATTATGTTTTGTAGTAATTTGTCAATCTTTTTATATAATTTACACTGAATAAAATTTCTGAAAAATGTTTGAATAACTGTCAGGATGCAGTCATCTCTCATATATATATTTATATATATATATATATATATATATATATATATATATAAATAACATATATAAAATAAACATTATAATTATTAAATCTCCCGGAACACAAAACATAAAAAGCAACAAAATACATTTCATTGTTTTTTTCTTATAAGTACAAATAAAACAAAAAAAACAACAAAAAAAATTTCATTTTTTTTTTCTAAAAAGAAAAAAAAAAAAAAAAAGAGAGATGACATTGTTTAAAAAAGAAAAGGAATTTCAATATAGAAAAGTTTCCAGAAGACTTGAGTTTGTCAAATTTCTCAACAATAATGTTGCAAAACAAAGAAAAAAAAAAGCCATGGATATTTTTCTTCACTAAGCCTGGCTTAAATTCTAATTAATTCTATGGCACGCAATATTTAAAATAAAATAATCTGTTAAAGTTGACTGAGGAAAGGAATGTTAATTTTGTTTTTATTTTATTTCGTTATCTGATTACCAGAAAAGTTTCCACTATTACCCCCCCACTCCCCCTGCCCCTTTCCCAAACCATACTTCTCTACAATCCTTCAGACCCCCAAAAGCTGCAGCTCATGCTCCGACTTAAATTATAAACAAGTCAAACAAGGGCTGATAAATAAAAAAAAAAAGTCTAATTAAAAAAAAAAAGTAGTATTTAATCCTTTCCAGTGACCTGAATAATTATTATAATTCTCCGAGTGTGAGCATGATCTTAGTCACTACACTGATTATGTTAACTCGGGTCTTCTTAGGTCAGACTTTTACTCTGTAACTTCTGAAAATGCAACTAAACTTGGACTACTGATTGGCATTTCAAAAAAAAAAAAAAACAACAACAAATAATACAACAACTATCCTGACCTTTATCCTTAAGGCCTCGGGAATGGCTGATGATTGCTCAAGGGAATGTAGCAGTTCTTGGGACTGTAGCAGCAACTTGTAGAGTTTAGTGGATGGTGATGTTGGAGGCAGGTGATGTAGAGAAGCATTCTGAAACACAGCAAGCAAAACCAATGTTGGAAATATCAGAAATAGTATTTAGACAAGTGGAACAAGCAAAGAAATTAGATTTAAGAATTAGGACACTTAATTAGTTAGAGCAAAAGTACTACATTTGTGTTTATAATTATAGTTAGTAAGCTTTGTACATGAATTTCGACCTTGTAATGTACTTTATGCATACATGATAAACATGCAGTGTATTAAATATACAAAGATACATTGCGTCGGGATCGGATCAAAACTTTCTGAGGCCCTGGCACAATCAATTTTCGGCCAATGGCCAGGCCTTATATGACAATGCCCATTTATGGATATGAATGCAGAGCAATCAATAATATGCAGGGGCCTCAAGCCTGGGCCCCCTTTACGCCTTGTAGAAACTGGTCATGTTGTACACATTGCCTTCTGGATGATCTGACCCTGCCTTGCATGACCTAAATACATAAATAAAGCAGGTCAAGGTCACAGGTTCCAGTTGGTGTACAACTTGAGGCCAAACCTCATTTTCCTTACCTTTATCCCTACCATTCCCTGATCCCAAATGTAAACAAATTAAGAACACAGCTTGAGTGCATAATACAAATCTTTTTCTTATATATCTTAAGGGCCCACGATCAATTTATTGATAATTTTGGCTCCTATATGTTCTTTTAAATTAAAAATTCTTGATTTCGATGTGCTGAGTCCTACTGGGGTCCTAAGCAGACTCAAGCTTATGGTTCACAGGGCTGGTTTTGTGGAACTTCAGACTCTTTCACCACCCTCCAGTCAACTATAACAATGGAACAGGTCAATGAAACTATCTATTTCTATAATATTCTTTACTGCTTTTAATTGTCAAGAAAAAACTATGGAACAAATGCAGTCCCCTAAGAAAGAAGTGTGCAAACTTGGGCCCGCTGATAGATTTAATCCGCCCAGAACCAGATAATTGTTTTCGGAAGATGTACAAAGCGTGAATGATTATCTATGACACTTTTGAAAATTAATGATGTTATCTATTAATTATCAACTCACTACAGATATAATCATTTTAGATTTTTAAAGAATTTGTTGAATTTATTGTCTGAAACTGAAGATTCAAAGAAATTACTTACAAACATGCATCTTCCATGCATCACTTCACACAAAAAAGGTAGCTATTTCGTGTCCTAAGAAAGATTTTAAAAAATTGTGAACATACCCATAACACTTCATTTCTGCCAAAGTCATGGGATGGGTCCTCAAGAAAGCTGGAGAGCTTCTCATCAAAATGATTAGCTGCTGCGTCCTCAGATTCCTCATAAACCCAGTGGGGCACTCTTGGGTTGCTCTGGTAGGGAAGTGTGGAAGAGTTGCTGTCCCTCGTGTCTTCCAGCTGAGAATCTGGCCATTCTGGATTCATTATGTTGTAATGTTTAACAGTGGACGAAATCAAGTTGTGGCGGGGGATTTCCCTAGGGACATGAGTGTCCCTGACCATCCCTAGGGAAACCTGGTTCATCACAGTTATGCTTTTATGAGGATTAACACTGGCATCAGCCTTTTCCCCATAGTCTGCGTGTGTCTGAGTGTCTGCCTGAGAGATGGGCTTCTCTGGGGGATCTTTCAAGTACCAACACTCATCTTTCTCAACGGTTTGGTATTCAGTTGTCACCAGATTGACATTCGGTTTGAGATGTTTCACCAAAGAAGAGTCATCACAATCATCGCCATCTTGACACAGCTCATCCTCATCTGCAACGGATCTGTCATCATTTGGATCAGCAAGCAGAGTGGAGATGTCCTTGAAATATTCCGGCAGACTTGTCGGTGGATTGTTTGCAGACTCACTTTCAGATCCGATGGCCGAACTGTTTAAATGGCCACCCGGGTCCTCCACCATGACATCATCATCATCATCAAGAAATCCTTGTATATTACTTTTCCTGTCATTCAAGAAAAAATGGATTTGTTCAGGCCCACAGAGTTCATCATGGTCATGTTTACAGCATGGGTTCTTCATGTCTTCTCCCAAACCCTGGATTTCTTTGCTTTGCCCGTTCCCTAGCTTTGATCCTTTGTACAATGGTTTATCCCTGCAGGGGTCACAATAGGGGTCATAAGTGAGTGTCATCACTTTGGGATTTGGCATGATGCTGTCATTCAAAGACATGTCATCAAAGTTGAGCCGTCTGACAATGGGATCTGGGACGTGGCTGGGCATCAGATGTTCACCACATTCAACGCCAGGCTCACTTAAACTGGAATCTTGCCAGGAATGGTCACTTGGCACACAGAGAGGGCCACCGTCTGAATACTGGGTGGCATCCTCCGTACTCTGATGATGACAGGTCATAGTAAGATCCCTCGCTGGGCACTGGGCGTCACCAGCCCTACACTGATGGTCTCTAGCAACACATGCAGGTTCACAACAAAAACTGTTATTGTTCTGATTGTACACACGGGCGAAATGGGACAAGGGCAGCACATCTTTCAAAGGATTACAGTTGTTAGTCTTGTTGCTATGACAGCGATCAAAACTCTGCTTATCCAAGCTGTAAAGTCCAGAGTCTGAGCTCTTCCGCATCAGAAGAGATTCACTGGACGAGTTTGACTTTGTTTCGTCCACAACATTAGGCTGCAGCTTAGGTCCTGTGTTATTATCATAGTTTGTGTGTGACCCCGGGGATGTCCGGTCTTCACTTTTCAACACAACGTTCACAGTCTTGTCTGTGTAAAACTCAGCCCTGTCCCCGGTGGGCTCTACCCATTCATACCTCCGCGTCTGCTCGGAGTAGTGGATCTGTGACAACTGCTTGTAGAGAGATGGCCCCTTGGTTGATGTGAAGGGTTTGGAAATGGGCACAGTGACTGGTCCAATAATTCCACTTCCTGAAGTCTTGGCTTCAGCAGATGAAGAGTATTCCTCAGTGCTTGTGGCCTCACTGTAGAAATAATTCCGCTCTCTGTGGCCGTTTTCCGTAGGACTACTCTGGGAGGACGTTTCTGACATCCTTTCAACATTATGGCTACAATTCACACTATCGTCATCAGCATCTTCGGAATGAACATCTTCCATTTTATTTTTCTGGTGGTCACTAGGGTTGTTAGAGAAATTTGATGGAGCAATTTTTCCGTCTAATTTCTCTTGTTGGTTCTCCACTGTAATTGTATCTCCAGTCTTTTTTTGTCCCTCCAACAAATGTTCAACCTTGACCTTATTGTTTGAACTGAAATTCTCAGCATCTGATTGGCTGTCCAGTGATTTGTTGTTGTTGCAATACAGGCCTCGCTGCTGGGACAGATACAAGCCCACATCTGTGGGGAGAATTGTGGAACAAACCTTGGAGTATGACTGCTGCCCTAGGAACGGGTCCACCCTTGGTGTTTTGTATTTATGGGGACGACCATCCAAAACGGTGTCAAAAATGCTGTTCTGGCTGGTGAGAGAATCCTCACGGAAGGACCGGTGGGAGGGCCGGCCATATCTATACTTATCATTGATAATGGAATGTGTTATTCTGCGGGTGTTGGGTGTAAAACGCTTTCCTGCCGACTGTATGGTTTCAATATGCTTGAGGATGTCGCTGTCCTTACAGGAGTAGATGCCATGGTGTTCAGCCAGGTCAGACTCATTCTTCAGGAAATTGCTTCTGCATTTTTTAAGGCACTCACTGAAGGTTTGGGTCTTGGGTTTACAGAGTGAGGTAATGTTGGTTATGTCCCCTTGTTGTGTGCCGATACTGGAGTTGCCAATGCTGTCAGCCTTCTGGTTGGCCTCCTCATCCGAGTACTCTACAGTGATCTTCATCTTTCCCTTTCGCTGCGGGACACCTGGCCGGGGCGAGATGCTCTTCAGACTGATCTTATTCTGGGGTTCTCCCGCCTCCTTGGAAGCAGGGTAGTTCATGACAACAACGGGGGACACTTGCAACTCTTGCATTGCAGAGTGTGAGCTTTTCTCCGTGAATCTTTCACTGCCTGGCTTTTGGGGTGAGACCGAAGAGTCAAGGTATGAGACCTTCTTATCCACGGATCTGGGGATGACTCCACTGTTTGAGTTTGAGGTAACTCTTCTGGGAGAGTGCTTGTGGCAGCATGTCTTGGAAGGGCACTGGGGGATTTCTGTACACCACATCATGGTCTTGCAATTCTGGTGTTGAGAACAGCATTTCTTCTCAACACAGCATTTCTTGTCACAACATTTCCTTCCCACACAGCATCCTTCACACTTGACTTGATCCGATGATGCTTTCCTGGAGGGTGGGTTTTGCTCAGGGGTGCACCTACCGCTGTGGCAGTGCTTTGATGAGCTCCTCTTTGCGTGTGAAGAATGCTTCCTCCGAACAGATGGGGAGACCATTACCAATGGTGATGTCTTGCTGTCCCTAGATGGACGTCTCTGCTCAGGTGACGGAGACTTGTTCCTAATGATGGAAGTGGGGACCCTCTCATGAACTGAGTGTTTCTCCTTCACTGAAGGCTTCCGTTCCACAACGGATGGTTTGTCCTCACTAGATGAGGACCTGCTGTCCTCAGGTGTGTCCACCAGATCAACCATGGAAACCTTCTTCAAGCTCGACTTGCGAGAAACGGGTGATTGTTTTCTAATTCCTGCCTTATGGCTGTGTCTGGACAATCGCTTCTCACTTGAAGGTTTCCGCTCAGAAGACGTTATCTCAGTAGACGACACACTGCTCTGACGGGGATTATGAACATTTTCCCTGGATTTACGGCCATGTGATGATTGTTTGCGATCATGGGCTGATGGTTTACGCTCATGGGAAGAAGGTTTACGTTCATAAGATGAGGACTTACGTGCAGAAGATCTGCGTTCATGGGATGAAGGTTTGCGTGATGATTGACGGTCTTGGAATGAGGATTGGCGATCTTGGATTGTGGACTGGCGATCATGGATGGAAGTTTGGGGGTCATGGATTGATGATTGGTGATCAAAGATAGATGATTGAGGATCTAGGAATGAAGACTGATGATCATGTGATGATTGGTGATCTTGGATTGATGATTGGCGATCATGGAGTGATAATTGAGGATCATGAACTGATGATTGGCGATCATGGATTGATGAATGGCGGTCATGAATTGACACAGGGTTGTCATCATATGATGATTGAGGATCAACGAGTGATGACTGATGATCATGGACTGGTGATTGGCGATCATGGATTGATGATTGGCGGTCATGAATTGACACAGGGTTGTCATCATATGATGATTGAGGATCAACGAGTGATGACTGATGGTCATGGGCTGATGATGGGCGATCATGGACTGATGATTGGTGATCATGGAATGACGATTGGCGATCATGGAAAGAGGGCATGCGTTCATGTGATGAGGGTTTCGTGTCAAGGGATGAGGATTTACGTTCATGAATTGATGAAAGGCGACGTTCATAGCTTGAAAGTTTACGCTCTCGCAGTGATGGCTTGCGATCATAGGATGAAGACTTGCGATCATGGGACGATGACTTCCGATCATGCGATGAAGACTTGCGATCATGCAATGAAGACTTGCGATCATGCAATGAAGACTTGCGATCATGCAATGAAGACTTGCGATCATGCAATGAAGACTTGCGATCATGGGCTGATGGTATGTGTTCAAAAGATGAAGATTTGGTGTCGAGTGCTGTCTCATGGTCACCAGAGGAAAGGTCCTGAAAGATAACCTCGACTTCAGAGTTTCTCTCCTCATCAGAGACGTGCATGGGATCCGACACTGACGTTTTGCTCGGGTCAAGCGAAGACCTGGCTTCATCAGGGGAGACCCTCCCAGAGGTTAGTTTGTTCTCACTGACTGTTTTCCTTCTACTGGAGGATCTTCGCTCTGACCTATAGATTGGTTCTGTGGATGAGTGCCTCTTCTCGCTTGAAGGCAAGCGATCACGTGAGAAAGATCTCTCCTCGGGCTGGAAGTCTTGCTGGGATGATTTCCTCCTGCTTGATGGGATGCTGGATTGAGAGGGAGATTTTTTCTCGCCGCCAACAGCGACGTGGTCCACGGAAGAAGATTCATGTTCACTAGTTTTCTGATCGGAAAATGGATATTTCGGCTCTAGAAATGTGAACTGCTTCTCGTGGAATGACGGCTTGAATGTATCGAGGAAGGCTTTTTTTTCGGCGGGTGTGCTTTCAATGCTAGGCGAAGGTTTGACAGCAGCAGGTGGTGCTGCTGCGGCAGGGTGGCCCTCAGTATTTAGACATGGCGCCTTCACTAAGCACATGAACTTCCGGCCCGGGCACTGACTCTCTTTGCCTGCGTCGCAGGGATCTTTGGCTTGGGCTGGTGGATCCCTGCACGGGGTCGGGCGGGCACAGGAGACCCTGGATAAGCTGGGGGGTTCCCTGACCACGACACAAGGTTCCTTTGAAAGGGCAGGGGGGTCTCTGGCGGGGCCGTAAGAATCTCTGCAGGGCTTCAAACAAACTGGTGAATTGTGGGAGCACTCGTTCTTGAAAGCACATGGTGACAGAGCTACCGTGTCTGGTGAATCGTCCGTCACGCAGGCCGCTCCAGAGTGGTCGCTTTTCGTACAGAACTCCACCGACTTCTTCTTTTGACATTCGCGGGGGGTCGGCGTGCCCTCGTCATCGGCACTGAATGAAATTCTCTTCTCAATTCTGTCCTTCCTTAAAAAGCTGCTTCTTCGAGGGTTCAAGATTGACGATTTAGGTGACCCTTTTGAGGGGACTTTAGTTTCCTGTGGCAGCTGTTTGCTTTCCAGCATTGGGCTCACATCAAATTTTTCTGCGCCAATACGAGAAATATCTGGAATGAAAAGATTTTAAAAATGAAGAGAAATCAGCTTCTGTTTATTCACAACAGTCCATTTCTAATAGATGGCAAGACAGAACAACTTACATTAAGGCATGTATCTTCTAAACTAGCCCCCCCCCAAAAAAACAACCCTACTGATAAAATGGCAAACCAAAGTATAGGAGCAATGGACAGCCAAATTAAAGAAGCAACGGTTAACTAGACTATAGAAACAATGGTACATCGGACAATAGAAAAAATGGCACACCGGACTATAGAAACAATGGTACATTGGACTATAGAAATGATGACACATCAGACTATAGAAACAATGGTACCGGTACATCGGACTATAGAAACAATGTTACATCAGACTATAGAAACTATGTCACATCGAACTATAGAAATGATGGTAGTAGCTCTAACAAAAGCAGACCAAAAAAAACAATGGTAAAATAGAGTAAAGAAGCAATTGTAAACCAAGCTTATAGAATGATCAATTATTATAAATAGTGCAAATATTTCTAGCAGGTGCTTACCATGCGTTATTTTCAAACTATTTTAAAGATGTGCCCCTGAGATAGTCTAACACTAAACATGCATGAATCCCAGTGAGAATATTTTGTTATTCTGACTGGATATCAGTATTTTTTATGCATTACATCTCTGTGTACCACCAGGGACAATGTAATTGTACAAGAACCTTATGCAGAGAAATACTCTAATACAAGAGATTCACCAATTTAAAATGTATTTACGAGCCTATTGCCTATTGATAAAAAGTATTTTTCGTCAACACATGAATTTAACATTGAAACCCAGGTACATAACCAAGATTTTTGTGCGCCCATACTGTTCTTAAAACAAATAAAAAAAAAAAAATTATTAAAAAAAAAAAAATTAATTAAAAACCTCTTTTAAGCTCATGACACATCCCATCGCTGTCGGCCGGAGTCAACTCATCCTCGAACTTTGAGGGTGACACAAGATGGCTGGCGTCAGAGGAAGACTCGTCCCGCTTAAAGGTGTTCTTCATCACTTGCTTCCCTTTCTGTGGACTGGGGTAACAGGTAAGAATGGGAGAGGTGGTCCTTGACCTGGTGGCCTTCTTTGGCAGGCGTGCCTGGGCGTCACTTGACCGTGAGTCCGAGCAGCTGCGAACACTTCTGTTGTCTGCGTTTTTAGAAATGTTTTGAGTGCAGCTCGACTCAGATAAAGATGGTTGTTTTTTCATGCCACTCCTGGTGAGAGCTCGTGACCTTGACCTTTGAAATGTATTAATTTATTATATAGGTGAATAACATCTATACTCTATATATATAAGAACTGAACTAATTTAAGCTAGTGAACACAAACGGTGCTTTTTTTCTTGGATTTTCAGGCAGCTATAATTTTAATTAAGTAAGTTGAATAAAATTTTGAGCCAAAATTTCACAGATAAAGCCATTTTATTATGTAGGTCAGGGAAATCTGCTGTACATGAAAGATACACTCAGAAATATTGACCAAAATCTTGTAGGTTTTAACCCTGTACTATTTATTCCTCTATTTGATAGAAAGATATGAAATAAAAATTGAAGAAATGTAGAGGAAAAAATATTTAATGTCCTTTATTAATGTGGGGGGTCCGAGGAGTTAGGGAAATTAAATAAAGAAGCAAGAGTGGATGGGGGTTGATGTGGAAGATGGGAGGGCGTGTAGGGCTGGTGAGATGGTGTGTTGGTAGGATGATAGGGATAATGATCACTACAGGTTGTCTAGTTTATATCATGTTAGATATTATATTTTAAACATTGATAAATTTGTATCAGCATTGTGCCAAAGATTACAGGTCAGATGCAGCAACCTCTCACAATACGAGGAATTCATATCAATAGTCTACCTGCAAATGAAGTTTAAAGTAAGTCTGAAAATCAATACGTTGACACTGACCTGCAGCTTGAAGTTTCCCTATCGTCGGAGAGCTGTGTTGTGCTACTCGTGATAGTGGCCACATTTCGGCAACGTATGGTGTGAATGTTCTTCTCATGGGAGGTGTACGTTGGAGATTCGATGACCTCCGTGTCATCCCCCCTATCTTGGCAGCTCGGAATCTGGCACTCTTTTTTTACCTTGACCTGGTAGCAAGTGCTGTCCTCACTCTCTTGAATGCTCAACTGTGGCCTGTCCTTGTGGGAACTGATCAAGACAGGACTTCAGTCAAATACACAAATAAGTAAAAAAAAAAAAAAAATGAATTTTTTAAAACAAACCTTTATAATATAAATAAAAAAAAAAAAAAAAATCAGCAAATGCTTAAAAATAAATAAAGACAGGACTTCAGTCAAATACACAAATAAGTAAAAAAAAAAAAAAATGAATTTTTTAAAACAAACCTTTATAATATAAATACAACAGAAAACAAGAATCAGCAAATGCTTCAAAATAAATAAATTTTTTAAGTCAGTTGAAGATAACTTCTACAAAATGATAAAAAGCAACGTTAACTACTGCAAAACTATTTTTTTAAAAAATATGTGAAACCAAAGTTGAAAAGTCATGAAAAGAAAATGAGAACAATTAATGATAAATCTCCATAAAACTAAAGGGCTTAATTTAAAAAAAAATACTTTAGAAGTATCCATGAATGTTGATGTTAAAAAAAAAAAAAGACGAATAAGATCCATTAAAAAAATTGGGTTTAAATTCATTAAACTGTCATTAAATGTTGATCCCTCTTTATCCTTTGGAGTATTGCTCAAAATGTCATGATTACAGCAAATTTAAGTTTGTTATGTTAAAAATGTATTTAGAAACATACTACGCAGGTTAAGTTTAGATCAATACTTGCATGCAATAAACATGAGCCAGAAAATCCAGCTTGATAAATTTTGCTTCATTTTAATAAACCATTTCACATTCTTGCAACTTATCGCTTGTCCTCTGTTGAATTATCCACTAAAATTTCTTCTACGATTGTTTTATACATCGTCAGTGATTTTAAAAAAAACTAACATTACTCCCAAACGCAATTGAATTTTTTTAAAATGCCCATTAAATCATGGTAAAGAAAGGCTAACTATATTGTGGTCCAGGGGCTTCTAAAAGTCATGAGATTTGTAAGGTTTGGCCAGAAGCAACAGGCTATTTCCTTAACAATACTGAATTTGAAGGATAACTGCTGTGCGAAATTGCCATTCTATAGTTTATTACTTGTAAAAATAACTCAAAAATGTTTAAAAATTCCAAATTAAAAAAAAATTACATAATGTAATAAACACAGTGCATTTTTTAAGGCATTTATTGTTTATAAAAAATATCCTTTTTTAAAAATCATAAAAGAGATGTGACTTTCATTAGCGTGTGCGTGTGATGCAGTAGGACATTCCTAAGTGTGTGAAAGTTATGGCATATATATACTTTTGACTTGTAAACATCTGTGTGCTTGTTGCTGAGGCCCACCATTATGCATGCGTCTGCCAGTGGAGTGCTTACCTCATATTTTTGTCTCTCTTAAATTTATTATCTACATGATTCATGCATTCCCCTTCTCGCTTGCTCTGTTTCTCCTCATCCAGTTTCATCCTCAAGAAATCCTCGTCAATTTTCTTCTGTGCCTCCTTTGTCTCCTTTTCCTTGACGCTCAGGTGGTAGAGGGTCATGTCACGATTCTGGCGATCATACAGCTTTAAAAGAAAAACATTTACATGATTGTGATATTCGAAAAAAAAAAACAAAAAAAAAAAAAAACGTGGATAAAAAAGTTTTTTAATGGACCCACTACAATTTTTCCCTCCATTAATTAAAAAAAACCACTTTTTGAGGCATGTTGGGAATTAATCTCATTTTCAGTTCTACCTCTCGGATATTCTGTAACTCCTGCATAGTTCTCTTGTGCTGCTTGCGTAGAGAATACATCACTTCCTCCTTGCACTTTTCCCTCTCACCTGAGATAAAACAACAACATTCGTAGATATTAATATATGCTCTTAGAGACGATGACACGGGATGGAAAAACTTTAAAAAACAACAACCTTCATTAGATATTAATATATGCTCTGAGGGACAATGACACGGGATGGAAAAACTTTAAAAAACAACAACCTTCATTAGATATTAATATATGCTCTGAGGTACAATGACACGGGATGGAAAAAACTTTAAAAAACAAGGAAAGTTTGTTCACCAAATTCGGTTTTAACTTTTGAAAAAAATCTTGTATTCTTCATTCATTGACATATAGGCATATACTTTGATTTCTTACCACATCTTTAACTTCACATTTTTTATGAGATAAAAAAAAATCATAACTATTTAAAAAAAAAAAATTAACATAATTACTTAAAGCTATTTTCCACCTCTATGTATTTGAGCCTATTCTATGATGTCAGAATGGCGCACACGCTTTCAACCCTGATTGTTATAGAGTAGCAGTAAAATGAGTTGGACACTTACAGCTGGTGAACAGAGCCTTCTGCAGAGCTATGGCTTGTTGGAGGGACTCATGCAACTGTTGGGTCATCTTCTGAATATTATCCTCTTTTTGGCCATTGGCAGCTGATGATAATATTTCATGTCAACAAGGTTTTCATTTATATATGAAATAATGACCAGCAATAATAACAATGACCAGATAAATGAATGTGTAAGTGAAAAGATTATTTTCTACATGAAAAAAAATGGAGAAATTGTGCACCCACTGGAATAAGAAAAACTTTGTTTCTCAGTAAAAGCTAAGCCAGAAAATATTTAGAATAGTAAGGTAAAATTCAATGATGGTGGAAGAAATAACTATGATGACATATATACATCAGATGCATGTTGCTTAAGTACAATTGTTTGTACGTGAAGTTTGTCATGCCAGCGAGAGGCAAGGGATGGTTAATGCCCACGAAGCACCATTTCATTTAAAAAAACAAACAAACTAGCCAATGACCTACTGAGAAGTTTATCAGCCTCGTCTTTGGCCTGACAGTACTTCCTCTTCCAGGCACTGGACTCTGTCGTTAGGTTGACATTTTTCTCCTCCAGTTCTTCACACCGACGCTCCAGAAACTGGATGTGATCTCGCAGTTTGCTCCCTTCAATCCTCTTCTCACTTAGACTACATTCCTGATTAGATCATTTTATAGTATTGTCTATATTGGCTTTTCTGGTGAATATATTTTTGCGAAAAATTTTGACTGCATTTTTTGTCTAGAAGAAAGTTAACACAGAAGCTTTAGGTGGCTTTAGTAAAGTAGGTTGAAATTCTAAACAGCCATCAACACTGTTTATATTAAGCAATGTAGTCCAAAGTGCCACAAATAATTGAAAAGTTGCTATATTTTGTAACCAAAGTCAAGAAAAACGTTTAAAAGAAAATGAGGGGAAATAATGCTGGCACTTGCAGCACGTCAAAAATTTGCTTACCTTCTCTTCAATCAGCTTTAAAAGATCAAGCTCTCTTTTCTCCAGATGTTTGCGGGTGGACATCAAATCCTTGATGGAACTGTTTAGGGCTTTATTCTGAAACTGTTAGACAAAAAAAAAAACAAAAAAAAATACAGTTGTTCGCTGTATCTACCTATAGTTAAAAATAAACATTTTCAAAATTTTATTACTTAGTGCCGTCTTATCTCCCGTGAAATTGTTCTACCAAATTTTGTCACACACAACTCTCCGTTGCGATCATTTATAAATAACCAAAAATAATCCTTAACTATTAATATTTTTTCCTCCATTGAGAGAACCATTCCCAACCAAAAAATGCCCAACAACAACATATCTTCCTTTTCACTACTGGGAACATGTCGTGGCTGAAGCTGTGCACTGTTGAACAAACATACACAAATATTCAAGATGCAGAGGTTTCAATACTGTATATTTTGGAAAATGCTATGCATATATTTTGAAATAGGTAAATCTGCAGTCCACCAAGTTTTGATTCGTACAAATACTTCACCAGACTAAAGTGTACATCAAATTTCAGCTCTAGGAGCTGTAGAGGAGGATATTTATATTAAAGCACATTGGAGTGATAATCCATAACAAATAAGAATGGCAAGCCAACTCTTCATCTTTTTTTTTTTTTTTGCTGGCATCCGTCCGTCACAATGTGACGATATATTGGTTTTCGGAGGACGAAATCCACATGGCCTGGGATTTTATATAATCCATAACAAATAAGAATGGCAAGCCAACTCTTCATCTTTTTTTTTTTTTGCTGGCATCCGTCCGTCACAATGTGACGATATAGTGGGTTTCGGAGGACGAAATCCACATGGCCTGGGATTTTAAGCTGGTTCCCAACAGCAAATCGCCTCTCTCCACGCGATGATACAGCTTGGCACCAGTGACGTCGCAGGAATTGTCGGAATGTTATATCAATGTTATCCGCCTTTCGGGACTCCATCTCCTGGTTTGATTTCAGAGTTGCCTTCTCTTAGATGAGTGCCATCTAAGGTTAACGAGTCCCATCCACCCGGGGTGCTAGTGATTTTTTGCTTGACTGGGCTCCGGCTGGAATTGAACTCCAGACCATCAAATTGAGATTTGCTTAGTTTAGACCACTCGGCCACCCAGCACCCAACTCATCATCTATGCATAAACAAACAACAGGGAATGAAGAGCAGTTAAAGACGATATAAAATAACAAAACACTTAGCTGCAAAGTAGTATCGTAGAGAACAGCAATAGGAATGTCAAACTGCTGTTAGATATCAGAAGTTTTTTTTTTTTTTTTTTTTATGGATATAGCGAAAAGAAAGCAGGATCAAGAGTGACAAACAAAAGTCATCCTTTCATGAATTACCTCCATATCTTTAATATACAAGGAATTCTCTTTGATCCGGTCGGCCAGCTTTTCCATCTCATCCTGTGTTCGTTTGAACTCCATAGCATCTGCGTCCCTCTGCTCACTGACTCGAGTCATCTCTGCCAGAGCCTCTTTGAGCTGGCGGTCACTTCGGATTAGCTCATCTGAAAAATGGAATCATAGTGTTCAGCTGATGATGAAATTTCCCAATGTGGTGAGCTAAATGTCTATTACTGAATGACACCAGTGTGGTTAGTAAAATGTCTAATGCTGAATGACACCAGTGTGGTTAGTCAAATGTCTACTACTGAATGTCATCTAACAAAACAAGTCAAATAAGCAAAGTGTTGAATGTTTTTTCTTTTCCCTGTACACACAATGCCATCAGTTTAAACACTTACTGACACTGTTGTGTACAATCTCTGCATGTCACGTTTACTAGATACTTGCAAGTCTTAACAAGATATAAATTATTATGGAAATTTAAAAACATCCCTATGGTTATTCCCTGCTCCATTTAAAAATAAAATAGACAGATCTTGATTTATTGAGCACATCACCAATTTTTTAAATGTTTGTGTTGCTATCACATGGCTGGCAAATGTACCTTCATAATTCCTCAAGCGAGAATGTAGGGATATGTATTTTTCCCGCTCAAGCTCCCAGGCTTGGACCTGCTTCTGGTGCGAGGAAACAAGGTCATTGAGCTCCTGGTCTCGTGTGCCGAGTTCCTCCATGAGGATCTGAATCTCATGCCTCTGCTTGCTGATAATGTCCTGCTCTAGGAAGACAGCTGTTGACTGGAACACATAGGTCAAGGTTAGATGAGTGGTGATGTCATGGTACATGCAGGCAAGGTTAAATGTTGGTGATGTCATAGCACATACAGGCAAAGTTAGATGTGTGGTGATGTGATGTCATGGAATGCATAGGCAAAGTTATATGTGTGGTGATGTGATGCAATGGAACACACAGGCAATCTTAGATATGTGGTGATGTGATATCATTGAACTTGCACACACAGGTAATATGATTTATATTCACCTTGAGTATCAAATAATATGGATGTTGTAAATATGATTGGCTCTTCGATCAAGTACAAGATGAGCACAGCTCTGCATTTCATCTGCTAATCGGGGTTTTAAAACCTATTTTTTAAAATTATTAAACACAACTAATCTACCCAATGTATCCACCACTGGTGTATCACTTGATCCCGTGCAAATCCCTTCCCACCTGTGAATTAAGACTTCAGCTATCTACCCCGAGCTAAAGTGATACCCTTTTAAGTTCAAGCATTTCATTGCATGTTAGGGTTTCGGAATACTCACTCCTGGACTCCATGATACGGCTTCACTATGCACTGACACAGGTGGGCCTTCTGTCACTCCATCTCCAATCTGACCAATTTTACTACTCTGTGTGATGTACCAGGTAAGACCCTGGCTTGTTGGAATCTTTAAAGTAAAAAAGTTTATAAACAAATTATTTTTAAAAAACAAATGATTCCGATGAAGTAAAAAATGAAAATGACTATTCTAAAATAGTTTCAATTGCTTTAAAATCATAAAAAAAGCCTGAACACTTAAAATAAAATCTGGAAACTAGCACTTAATGCATTGGTTTGAAAGTTTATCTTTTGTAAACAAAGCACAACACCTTTTTATCATTCATTGATTGATTTTTGTCACTGCTGTTGTTGCAAGTGTTGACAGACGGATGTTGAGGTATACCAAAGGATTCAAATTCTCCCAAAATGCTTTCAGGTATCCGATGCCAGTTAGGATTCAACATGTTTTCCTCTGCCGCAGATGGCCTAGTATTGACAAGGCCATTATTGCTCTGCAGCGATGTGTCAGAATCTGAGCTGTGCTCTCCCCGGCCGAGTCCGCCATCACCCTGGAAGTCCTGGCCCTGGCAGTTGCTGCCAGACTGCTGCTGTCTGCTGACACATCTTTTCTGAGACGCCTTTGGGTTTGGCTTGTGTGGAGAATATGAAGACACGTTCCCATGTGTTGATGATTGTGGCCGCTGATTCTGTACAGTACAAGAAACGTCTATTATAAAACCTCTGTTGTGGAATAAGTTAAATTTAAATAATAAAACAACTAAGCATGATGAGAGGTGAATGAGCTTTACATGTAAAAGCTTCTGTTTGTTTTCATATTAATTTTTATTGGTCACAAAATTAAAAAATTAATAATTTAATAATTGTTTTTACCAGTTCAAGCCTTCTATTAGTGTATAGACATTTAAAACTTATTAGAACTGATGACTCCCAAAACTTTTTATCCTCATAATAATAATAGTTTGACTGATTTTCAGTTACCTTATTTTGTGTGCTGTGTTGAGGCCCGCACTCACTTACATTGAAACCATCTAAAAATTCCAGGAAATAGAATGAAATCAGTCAGCTCAGATAAAGTAAGAAAGCAATATGTACTAGACAGTTCATGAGCTAACTTTTTTGCAGTACAACTTATACAAAATGAGATATAACCGTTAAGAGTTTTTTTCTTCTCTTTGATGCTGACAAACTTCTTGTAAATTCTGCTGTCATTATTAATGTCACATAAATGACCCCAGGTTTAAGTTCAATAGTGATTTAATAGTTACTAGAAACCAGTGTAATCAAATACACCAGTTTAACACTTCTTGTCAATTACATTTTCTTTACACAATATTACAGTCTAACCCACTTATCTCGACCTCGGTTAATTCACCAACTCTATTAAGTCGTCGTTTTTGAAGTGGAGCCGCAAATTTCTCTCTTTGTCTTAGCATTTTCTCATTGGTTATGTCCATTCTTTTATGTCACCAAATGCAAATATCTCAAGCGCAAAAGGGGGCCAAATTCGCCACTTATCCTCGGTTATTTCGATCCACATCCATGTCATAAGTAACGTATTTGGAATCGACCAATCCTAATGTATTTGGTATGGTTGGAAAGCTTGTTTTTCCATTTAAAGATAAATATAGCTTAACGTCATATAGAAAATTACGAAAGCAACTGCACCTTTCAATCGCCAGTAATTTCAAGCAAAATTTAGTATTTTCCTGACCTACTTTGTGTATCACATGATCTAGCTCTGACCTTTGAATAAAATAAGCATTTGATTTGTTCCTATGTCGGAATTTTGTTTTCAATATCTACATCGGATCGCTTCATCAAACAAATTGCGTCAACGGTGTTGTGTAAAAAACAAACACTCCAAAAACATGTACATTCTCATTTATTAACGCACATCAAGCACATAAAGAAATTTCAAGCACATGTTAATATATTGCCGCCAAGTAGGTTTTCGTTTATCTTTATCACAGGTTATCTTGACCCTTTTTGGCAAATTGCTGGGCCGGTGACATGACCGGGTTCAACTATAATTAGTGACACAATATATATTGCCATGTGATATGTACAAGTAGGCTAAAAGGGGCTGATGATTCCAGTGTTCATATAAAATCCTTGAAATATGTTCACTTAAAAAACTCATTTTTTTTTTAATGCGCATATACAGATACATTAATTTACCATCATCAAAGGAAAGCATATTTTGTTGTTTGCTTGCCACACATGGGGCTTCACTCATGCGCACATCATAATAGGCCAATAAAGCATCTCCACCTGTTAAATGAACAAAATTGAATCATGATTTAATGATTGGGGTGATTGGATGGATCTTTATTTTTAGAATAAATCACTCATTTATGATTTATTTGGCAAATTCGTTTTAGGGCAAAGGCAATTAGTTTTAGGGCTTAAATTTAAATAAAAATAATTTCTTTTAGTCTTTCTTAGGACTTAAATTTTTTAAAAAATTAATGGTGTCTAAAAATCATGATGCTACTATTACTATTAGGATAAACACACAACAACATGTATTAGTCACTTACTGACTTTGTTATTAAAGATTTAAATTTCCCCCGAATAAAAAAAAAATTAGCACAGCCAGTTGTGAAGGAGCTAACTTTAAGTTATATAACAACAAAACCAAAAAATCCTGATTACAGCAGTTCTTCTTCTTCTTCTATATATTAAGGGCCCACGATCAATTTATTGATCTTTATGGCCCATTTGCATGCAGAGGGGATTTGCAATATTTCTGTGCCTGGTGTTGATGAGGACATTTCACTGATTGCAAGTGCCACTTTGTGAGGTAATCATGCACTTGGGGTTATATATACAGTTTTTAATATATTTGATAATTTTTCATTTTCTCTTTTAAATTTAAATCTTTGGGCTGTGACTGTGACAATTTTCTGTTGTTAAAGTTTAATTAAATAAATTCATTTATAATAGTTAAGGGGAGTCAGTAAGTGTAGATCTGGCAGAAAATATGGACATATAGTCCATAATAGGTTAACTGAGTAATTCAGTTATTAGTTGCAGTAGAGATGAGTTGGCTTGGACTCTCGGTTGTTGGCATTGGGCTGGGATAAGACTTAGAATAAGATTAATAAGAAGATAGCTGCGCTTCAATTTCATTAAAAATGTTTGCGAACATGTGTAATTGGTTACAAAGGAAAGAAAAAAAATCAGTATCCTAAATTAAGTCAATATTTTATCATATTTGTTTTCTCACCACAAAGAACTCAAACCAAAATCGCTGGGGTTCGGTTGTTTGTTTCAACATTTGATTTGCACTCGGCTGTGCAAAATAGTTGGCTTCCCCCGTTGTCAACAAGATCCTTTCCGGTGATATTTTTGTAAAAAATATGAACACCTTTCCATATTTTTTAGAAAACAACTCATAAAAAATGTAATGAAATCAACAATTAAAATTTAAAAAAAAATTGTTTTAAAAATTTGCAAAATAATTTAAACGTTATTCAATATAAATATTAAATCTAAAAAAAATATTTATTTATTAACATTATATCTCCTGTTTGTGCTAAGAATTCGAAAGTATAATAAAAAGTTAATATGTTATGCTTACTTCGAAACGAAACGGAAGTTCCTATTTAGGAGCACAGCGCTCCCGGTGATTCAATACTTTGACAAGACCCAAGGATAGTTGGAAACAAAAAGTAAACAAACATTCATCTTGAAATTTGTTGTAATCCAAATTAGCAATAGAATTAATTGCCTCTATTAAAATTACCCCACTTGAAAGTATTGAAAGTAATCCTTTTCTCAATCGACGCTTAGTGAGTCTCGTCACTTAGTCAGCAGTCGGACCGTCTAAAAAAAAAAGTCCGCAGTGCAGTGCACACATCACTTTTGCTTTTAAAAAAATAGAATATATAATTAATATAGTCACTATTATTGATAGTCTTAGTCAGAGAGTTCCAAAAGTAGAGTACTGGTACTGCTTCTTTTTCTCTCGCATTCTTGACTCTACTTCTATCTACTCTAGACAACTAGTCTAGTCACTACTCTAACAGTCACTGCCTACTAGTGAAGTAGCCCTGGCCCTGTACTTTTTTTTACTCTTCTTTGGCTTAATTCTAGTATTCGTTTGGGCGAGTGTGGCCTGTATCTTCTCATCATCAGTGATCAGACTCACTTTGTGACTTGTCATTAGCTGCACTGCAATTAACAGGAGACACACAGAGATATATGTTACATATTCTCTTTTTTTCTTATATAAATATTATAAAATTTTATTATAAATTAAAGTTTGCTAGACATAATAATTATCATTCTAATGCAGGGGGTTTGGGAGGCAGTGTCAGGTAATGCAGAAATATTCAGACAATTAATAATTAGGATTATTTGCATTTTTTTATTGTGGGGAGGATGTGAAAAATTGGCTTTGAAATGGAGTTGGAGGTGCGGGAAATCTTTTGAAATCAAGAGGGGTGTGGCACTGTAAAAAGTTTTAAAATCCCTTTTTAATGTTCAAGGATAATAAAACTTGAATATCCTAAAGCTATGCCTAATCTATATTAAAATGATACAAATATGTGATTGCTTGCCAAGGATTAGGTTTAGGCCCTTAGTAGCCTAAATAAAAAATATGCTGATTAGTTTAAAATAAGTGAAGGCCCCTATTGGAAAGCTGAGGACTTTTATGGAATAATTTTTTGGTTAAAATAGCATATTAGCAGAGTATATAGCTTAGTTAATCACCATATGTGATGTGAAATGATTATTCTCTGCCTTTTAATTGATTGATTTAATTCAAATTTTCCTTAAAAAATGTAATTAAAGAAAACAGCAACAAAGTTTTGGCCTAAACAGAATAGTTACAGGTCATTGAGTACAATTAATGACTTACAGTCATTTAACAATTATAATTAATTAATAACAATTATAGTTTATATTGTAGTCTGTAGTATAACTAGTGGTATATTTGTAGTATATCATTTGTAGCATGATAGTAAAGCTAAATACATTATATCTTTTGCGTGCCAATGAAGGTTTTAAGCCAACATTTTTATCCTTTGCATTGCTTTATTTGAGGGCCTAAATCTTTACACAGCTACTTCATGTGATAGACTATCTCTCTTAAAAATTCATCTGACAGACCAAGCAAAAATTAAAATTAAAGGCCTACCAGAAATGTACATTATATACTTAACATAAAGTAGATTGTTTATCCTTGTATATTATTGTCTAATTTCTAATTACAATTAATTTAGTAATTTCATTTCTACTTTGTTGAATAAATTAATTCGTAAGAAAATTTGCTTTCTTATTATGGTAATAACACGTATGTGATATTTATTCTTTCAAAATCTTCTGCTTTTTGTTTTAGCTACTCTTGATATTGCAAGAGGGGCAAGACTGCGTCAAAAGAAATGGCAGGGGTTACAGAACAGAAACCATTCTTGGAGTACAGTGGACCCAAGCCAGGATTCAAGTATCCCATACATGTCTTATATTGTGGAGGTAAGAAATGGATTAATTTGCTGCCGAGTTTTTTTCACTTAAAAATTGATTGTTTAATATTTATGTACTACAAAAACTGCTCTCCAAATAAATGGTGTCTGCAATAGAAATAAAGAATCTTTGGTATGTGAATTAAAAAAACTTTGTATTATTATTTTGTAAAAGAAAATGAAAATGTTTTAATTGTTAGGATTTTTCTGTGCTTCCAAAAATAAAAGATCTTAATCAAATACACCAATGCAGTAGAAAATGATGAATGTCTGTCTTATTGTCATTAATTTTTTTGTTCCCAAAAATAGTTCTATAATTTTCTTTTTCTTTCTTTGCAGAATGTGGAGTCCCAGTGGAGGTGAGCTGAACCTAGTTTATTTGTATACAGCGATGATATTTATGCTAGTTATATTAACCATCTTAAAGGCTTGATGAATGTTGATAATAACCCAGTTAACTCATTCCCTCCTGCAATGCTACTTCCGTACTTAATTTATTTGCCTGAGAAAGGGAAGTAACTCCGTCTGGCAATTGATTTACATTTGTAAAATATTTATTTAAGCTGCTAAATATTATTTAATGTTAATGAATTAAGAACAAATGCAAAAAAAAATGAATAAGGTTTAATATAAATATAATATTATATTAGCTGGGGAAAAATAACGAACAATGGCCAAAAAATCGATTTTCGGCACCTAGGACGAACACATGCTACATATAGATGCGCTGTATTAAAGCACACATAGTTTTAAAGTGAAACACGATAAAACTTCCGGTTTTTAAGTTAAAATCACGCTGAACCTCGCCATCGCCGGAAGTCTTGAGGGATGCGAGATGTCATTTCTATTTTTAAATAGCTATGAGAGAGATGTGTTGCTATGAGCCGGGAGGCATTTGGACGCCCTGTAAAGGGCGCATTTAGTCGCAAACTTCGGGAATGAGTTAAAAGCCACATGAGCTATTTCATAAGCTAGTGGCTAATTCTAAAAATAAAGATGACTTATCCATCCAATCACCCCAATCATAACATCAATATTTTAAAAAAATTTTCACAGTATTGTGAAAACTATCCAACCTACGAGAAATGCAAAGCTTGGCTAGAAAAAAACGTGCCAGATGAATTTGAAAAACTGAAGGTGGACAAAGGGGCTACTGTAGCTGCAGCAGGAGGTGGCGGCGGCGGAGGTGGTATGTGCTCCATCAAATTTTGTTTGATAATTTTTCAAGATATAATATAATTTTTTCATTCACCTAACAAGAAATCAGCATTGCTACAATTAAAAACTGGATCCAATGCACAGTGACCAGGTATAGTTGGTTTAAAAAATAAAATCCTTGCTAACCCATGACCTCCTAATTGTAATAGAATAATAGATGCTTTTAATTTGTAATAACCCAATTTTTTTGGTCAAGGCTTTGATCCAGGGCATCATTTTTTTGTGCTGTTTTCCTTGTGGTGTTCTTGTCCTTGTTGAGACCAAAAATGCTCTTGTGATGCTTCTTCCTTTCCCCTGTGGACATAATTTGTACTTTGCTGGGTCCAAAATTGGGAATCTAAATACCTGGTGTCCTGATATTCACATATCTACTGTGTTTTCACTTGTCCAGATGAACTGACAGTCACTTGATTTAGACATTTTGTCCAGTTGAAACTCAATTTAGACATTTTGTCGAGAAGAACAACCATTCACTTGATTCAGACATTATGTCTAGGTGAACTTATTGTTTGTTATTGATAGATTTGGGTTTAAAAACAAAAAAAAAACTGGTAGAAACTGTTCTTTATTTTTACTTTTTCTTTTTTCTTGTAGTGGAAGATGATGGATCAGCTGATACCAAAGAGGAGGGGGAGGAAAAGAAAAAACGACAGACCAGAGGAGGTAAAGCCATCATGAAGGCGAAAAAAAAAATTGAACCCCAAGGGGTGAAGTTGTGGACACAGACAAGGGGGAAGAAAAAAAAGGTCACGATTATTGTTGGGCTTGCATCCTATGGTGAGTGGCACAGATAATGATATAATTATTTGTAAATCCTTTTCATACTGAGCACCATATTAATTAAAAAAAAAAAGTGATATAGAATTATTTAACTCGAGTTGAGGTAAAAAAATAAAGGCACACCATATTTTGCCCTGTTATCGGAGTCCCTCTTCTATTATAACATATTATTTGTTTAGTCATTGTTTAGCTTGAGTGAGTAGGAGTTTTTGATATTCTCTTGATTTTTGCAAAGCTTAAGGAAAATTAGCAAAAAAACCACCAACAAAATATACAATAAAAACAACAGCTTAAAAGTGGAAATGAACACGTTCAATACATGGAAAGCTAGTATGAAAGATTACCACTAAAATCATTGTTTAAATAAGTATAAGGGTTTAAATCTGTGCATTTACACTTGTCCTAGAAATTGACCTGAAAGAAGCCAGTAAATTTTTTGCCGGGAAATTCTCATGTGGCTCATCCATCAGTGGGGATGACGAGATTGTAGTGCAAGGTGACGTCAAGGATGACCTGTTTGACATCTTACCAGAAAAGTGGAAAATTGTAAGTTCAGCCTAGGTTTATGTCATGATAGTAGTACACTTAGCATAAACAATTTTGTGGCTTAGGGCCATGTCAAATTTCTAAGTTGTTTCTCTTTGTTCATAAAAGCCCATTTCATTTTTTTTTATACAAATCTGTTTAAATCACTGAATTTACATAAACTTATTTCTTTGTATTTGTGCACGTTATGTAAATCATATACTGTACATTTATGATTTATATGTGAATCTTTTTTTCACCATGACCAGCCCACAAAACAAGCTTGATGCTCATGATGCTGGCCCCCCCCCCCCCCCCTTTTTTTTTTTAAATAAAAAATATTACGAAATAAAAATTTCAAGCACAGATTTTATTGAAGACAACAACTATTTAAAACTAGAAGTTAGCTGTTTGTTTCTTGGCTTTCACTTATTCGATAATCAGACTTATATTTAAAATGTTTCAGTTACAAGTATAATTTACTTTAGGCTTTGACCAAAATCCCATATTTCTCTGCTTATTCCACAGATTGATGAAGATGATATTGACGACTGCGGGGAAAAGAAATAGTGCATTTTTTAAATTATTGGTGTCTGGTCAGCGTGTTTGCATCCTTAGGACGAGTAGCGGTGTGACTGGTTGATGGTGGTGATGTGTTGTATTACTCATCTGCTCTATTAAATTATTGACACAGCTCATCCAGCCAAACGTTTGTTGTCTGTTTTGTCAAACTGTCTGATTTAAGTCAATACTCTTTTGTTGTCTGTTTTGTCAAACTGTCTGATAAGTCAATACTCTATTATTAGGGTCTGTTTTTTCAAACTGTCTGATAAGTTAATACTCTATTATTAGGGTCTGTTTTGTCAAACTGTCTGATAAGTTAATACTCTATCATGGTCTGTTTTGTCAAACTGTCTGATAAGTTAATGCTCTATCATGGTCTGATTTGTCAAACTGTCAGATAAGTCAATACTCTATTATTAGGTGTTTTTTTTGTCAAACTGTCTGATAAGTCAACACTCTTGTATGGTCTGTGGTGTTAAACTGTCTGATAAGACAATACGCTACCATGGTTTGTTTTGTCAAACAGTCTGATAAGTCAATACTCTATTATGGTCTATTTTGTGAAATACATTAATGTACTGAAGGACACAATTCCTGGAGCTCTAGTCTCAGCCATATGAGAAAACAAATCAACAAAAATTTAGCCCCTGGGACTCATCCCAGAAAAGACAACTAATCTCCACTGACTTTTGACTACACCATTTACATTTAGTCTAAATGTTTTTATAACTCCATGAGACAACATGAGGGATACAAATAAAAAATGAATTTAAAAAATTTAGTTTATATTTTATTTTGTATATTCTTGATTTTTCATGCTTACTGAAAAAAGGAATTAAATTTATGAGAATTTAAAAAAAAAATAATTAAAATTTAAAAATTAGTATAAAATATCAATAATAGCATAATGATTAAATAGCAAAATTATAACTGCAAATGAGACAGAAGACCTGCAGGAAGGGACGCCTTTCAAATACAGGATCCTCACAGCTTGGGTTATCGTGATAAATGAATCCCAGTGCCAGGCTCTCTACATCTTTTATTTTGTTAGGTTCCTCTCTCTCATGGGATTATTTAATGTTCACATGATAATAAAATCATGTATTATGTTAATTATTAAGTCTTTAGTAATGCAGGGGCATCTAATACAGTGCTGCTCACACTGGTGGTGTACAACAGTACGCAAAAAGTGAAAAAATTGATGGAAAATTAAATTACTCAGGCGTGATACTGAAAACTTTTTGCAAGCGCTCATCAAATAACACATTCAATTTGTTTCATTCAGGACTGAAAAATAAAAAAAGTCCCACAAAACACCACCACTATCGAGAGAGACATCTGGATTATATTTGCCAGTTAGTTTGTAAATATAATTTTCACAATGCAACTAAATTTCCTTATCTTAATGTGTCACAACGAAGTCAGACATTGAACTCATCATCATCCCATTTAGAAAAGATAGACTCATAGATTGCCTACATGAATGGAACATTTTCACCGTAAAACAAATGTGGAGTTGTTGATGGCTCATTATAATTTTAACATACACACAACTTTTCAATGAAACAAGCTGGACCAATATGTTACATGAATATGTTACATTCACCGAACTTGAGCCAAGTATTACATCACACAACTTAAGCCAAGCACTGCATCACCCAACTTAAGCCAGCACTGCATATTTACATTTAAACAAAAAATTGATCAAGCTTTAAAGGAAAAAAAAAAAAAGAAAATAATTGACTTAATCTTGTAACAATATGTATAATAAAAGCATATATATACTTTAAAAAAATCATATATTTTTGGTNAGGTTAGTAAAATGTTGAACTATTCAATAATAATAAGGTGGAGAGACTGCAATCAGGTTAGTAAAATGTTGAACTATTCAATAATAATAAGGTGGAGAGACTGCAATCAGGTTAGTAAAATGTTGAACTATTCAATAATAATAAGGTGGAGAGACTGCAATCAGGTTAGTAAAATGTTGAACTATTCAATAATAATAAGGTGGAGAGACTGCAATCAGGTTAGTAAAATGTTGAACTATTCAATAATAATAAGGTGGAGAGACTGCAATCAGGTTAGTAAAATAGAAATGAGGGAAACAAAATATGGGAAAACCTGAAAAAAAAAGAATGTAACAAAAAGGAGTTCCTCTTGCTGTTCTCTCAGATACTGCATTTCCGTTGTTTTGTTTCATTCCCCTTTCCAGGTTTTCCAATGCTTTGTTTCGCTCATTTCCATAAAATAATCAACTTCTGCGACTAGAATGTACCTAATGGAAATATTGAGATTCCTATTTGATGAGTGGCAATAAAAAATAAGACATTGCATGGATCATTTTTATCTGTTTAAAAAAAAAATACAGTTTATATTAAGCTTTACATTTTATTTTCACAACACACAAAATATCATTTGGCTCCTTCAGAGACAGCATAAGTTACCACTTTGTTGGGAACAAAATAATAATAATAAAATAAAATTGGAACATTCCATTGCAAAAAAATAATTTGTTTGGACACTTTGACCGACGACCACGGTTGTTCGAGTGACGAAGAGCATTTTTAAAACACTTTTGAAACCTGATATTTAAAAGAAAAAAAAAGTATTTCATAAAACTAAAGCGAAAATTCTTTTTTATTTTTTTAAAAATTTGTTAATCTTATTTTGATCTGCAGTGTCCAGTGGTCGGTCAATATTTTCTGACGTGACAGGTTGTGTAAGGTATGTTTTCGTAAATGCATTTTGCAAATTTGCCGTTCTGGCCTGGCCACATCACGTCTCTCTTTCTCTTTGTGCAAGCATGGGTGTGTGGGGAAAAAGGGGGGAAGGGACCCAGCTTTTGCTTTCACAAATAACACAACTTCTGTACAATGTAGCACAGAACCACTCTTGAATGGTGCAAATAAATCACACATTTTTTATGGTATTTCAAAAAAAATATATATAAAAAAAAAAGTTGGACAGAAATTTTGCGCTGGGTCAAGGGAAGAAAATGTAGTTCATGTATTCATGTAAAGCAGATATTCGGCATTGCCTGCATGCGATAAGAGAAAATTGCTTTCAAAAAAAAAAAAAAAAAAAAAAAAAAGAAGGAGGAAAAAAAAAAAAAAAAAAAAAAATGGAAGCAGTTGAGAAAAACAAAATGAAAGGCGAGATAGGGTGTGGCTCATCATCTTGAAATTCTTTTCCAATGTACGATGAAGATGCGAAGTTTTACTGGTACAGGTAAGACTGCACTATCTGTTGGAAGAACTAGGATTTTGTGCAAAACATTATTAGAAGGATTTTCAATTTTGCATTGTTTGCAGACAAATATATGACAGTGATCTTGAACACTTCCGAACTATCAAATAGTAATGGGTTTGATGAGGATATTTGACTTTGCCTGGGGCTCATCACACCAATTATTAAAATCTCTGTTTAAAAAAAAAAGTGCTTTTAGCTTGCCGTTTCGTCCTAGCCACTTGTACCTTAGTATTTGAAACTACCCGCAAGCTATCTTAATCTTAAGGGCTACCGCGCACGTCCTATTGTAGGAAGATGATTTGATCACAATCAAGAACATGAATATAAATATATGGGGGGGGGGCTTTAGACCCCAAAGAGAGGGCCAGAGCAGGCATGTTGTGGTAAAAATGTGTATGTGTGTGGGAAGGGGGGGGGTTCATACAGGGTTTAAGGTAACATAACAGTAAATTGTTACTTTGTTAACAATCACTAGAAATTTGACTTTTTAAAAATCTGTTTCACAGCTACAACATCAAGAAAGGACCTTAACAGTGAATTTAAAGATACAATCGCACGTACTTCTCAAGGAAAAGGGGCGCCAATGTTGTCCTCCTTGACTGGTCCGCCCCCGTGGTGCAATTTTTATTTTTAAAGGGGCGGCATTTTCAGGCTTCGCCCCGAGCGCTGCTTTTCTCCGGCACTTCAACAATGACTAGAATATTTGTCTTGATGTAAGTCCAGAGGCTTCAACATCATTCATGTTTCATGCACGAAACTTCTATAACTTGAAATAAAATTAAAAAAAAATACATGAAAAATACAAAGGTTTACTTGAGTACCAGTGTAAACACACTAGCTTGGCTGCAATGACGGCTTTCTTCCCTGTGACGTCACGGACTTCTACACTCTACAACTAAACCTAACGCCAAAAATGTTTTAAGGTATTATTTTAAATTATTTTTTTTTAAGGAAAATAAAATTTAAAAAAAAGTGTATGGTTATGTGTGTGTATGGGGGTGTGGCTTAGAATTCGTCCAAGATAGGTTATGATACGGGGTGGAAAATTATGGAACCTTGCATGATCATAGAGTTAACAATGTCATTTAAAGAAAACCCAAGACAAGAGGTGTATCACCATTGCTCCCGCCCACCCCGTTCCCCCAAGTCCTTTAGGATGCACAAATAGATCACCAAAACGTGACCATGTTTTGAGTGCACAGTGTGTGTGAGTGTGGTTG